CCTCCCTCACTGCGGGGGGATGGTTGATCTGCCTCCCCATGGCCCTTCCCTCCTCGCATCCCTTCCACCACAACAGACTTACCAGCTGCATAAAGCTCTCCAAGCTGCTGGGCTGTGCTCCTTGCTGCCTACGTGCTGTGGCTGTGCGTGTGCATGGGCATTTATCGGCCAAATTAGCAGCCACTTCAGGCTGATTTCTGATATAGTCAATTTTCCTTGTATCAGCGCCAATCCAATGTTGGACCGATGTATCGGTGTTGTATTTATGAGCATTTCATAGTACTAACTACAATTCTAGCTTTGTCTCTCTGAGGGATGGGGTTTTGGTTTGGGGCTGGGGGAGGGGGCTGGGTTGTTTTAACCTTAGAGCTGCTCCTTGGAATTGCCCTAGAAAATCTGGGTGGATTTTTTTTCCTCTAATTGGCTTGAAACAGAAATTCTGGTAGGATCATTTTAGTCTTGTGCTTTGGATCTAACCCACTTCTTCTTTTCTTCCCCAGATATTACTGTAATGTATGTGACTGTGTGGTAAAAGACTCTATCAACTTCTTGGATCACATCAATGGAAAAAAGCGTAAGGATATTTTGTTTTCAATTTGTTATGCTGGGTAGTAAATAGAACACCTGTAGCATGAGCTTTTCCATTATGAAATTTGCTTCCTCCAATGTGTCTAGAACCCACGCTATTTGGCACATACAGTAATAGGCTTTTCTGAGATCAGAATATATACTCAACGTTTGCTGTTAAGGGCTAGAGAAAGAGCAGCTTGTGTTTTCTCATGACTTCTCCGTGGTCCTAGACGAGACAGAGGTGAAATAAATTCAGTAGATATAGTAATAACTATGGGTTTTTTTGGTAAGGAGAGCGTTGGGAAAATATTTTGGAGTTTTTCTAATGAGAGAACCCCACTGTCAGCAAGCAGTGCAGCTTCCCTGGGAATTTAAAGAGTTATGTGATAGATATCATTGGGGGTTTGAGCATTGTAAAGGAATTCTGAAGACTTTGGATGGATCTGTCTGTTCTCTCATCATGCCTGGATCCCTTTCTTACAGGAATGTGGTTTGAACTTAGAGAATTTGAGTTTCCTCTATCATCTTTCAACCAGACTTCTTCTGTAGTTTGGAGCAGGGTACTTGAACTCTGTCTGTTTTCATGTTTCTGCAATGTTCTACCAGGATATTTTGTTAGATTCAGTACTTATCATATTCTTTGAAGATGGAAAGAGAGAACAGCTACAAAGAAGTCTCTGCTTGATTTGCAGTGTCATCATACGCAAGCTGTGTGCTGGGCTCTGGCTGATAGCAATGCAGCTGCACAGGAGGTACCTAAGCCTAGTCAGGATCAAAGTTCCAGGACTCTAGAGCAAGGGATGGCTAATCTGTAGCGTGGCCAGCATGTGTGTGACACATGGCAACCCAGGGAAGGAACAAGCAGCACAATACAGGTAGGGCAGGGAGGAGAAAGCTGGCCAGGGTATTAGTGTGGTACTCAGGGAGGGTGTGGGACTAATTTGTGGTACACCTGCCAAAAAGGTTGGCCTCCACTGCCCTGGAGTATAATATAAGCTGCACACATTTTTGTTTTCTTTTTCAACTTTTTTTGTGTGCAGCTGGGAACTCCTCTTCCTCAAACTCATCTCATGGTTATTTAAAATTTATTTAAGCTTTTCTATTGTGTAGCAGAACATACTTCTGGTTTTTAATTTTTAAAATAGAATTGTAGTTTGCCTTCTTTTATGTTTTGTTTTGGAAGTATGGCTGACCTGGAATGAGAGGCCATGTTCATAAAACATGTTTCTTACTGAGTTTACTATCAAGTGCCACTCAGCTTGCTGGTGTGAGTAATGCTTATAAGAGAAATATTTTCCCATTAGGTGTTCATCCTGTGTAGCCTTGTGTCTCTGGAGAATAGTAGGGCAGAGGGAAATTATCTTAATGGACGAAGACTTGAGTCCTTGTCCTTGCTCTTCAAAACTGAACAGTTCATCAGTGTCTGAGTTCAAAGGTATGAGTGTGTATATTTTATCTTCATGGTCAGCATTATGCAGATGTTATTGGACTAGAGACTGTCATCTTATAATTTGGCATGGACACTGGATCCAAAGAAGGAGGGGAGCCAGGATCTGTCACACTAGGTCAGAATTGAGGAGGGAAGGCAGGATGATACCAAGAACCTATTTTTCTCCATCGTAACAGATGGAGAAAAGAAGTGGAATGGGAAGTCTCAAGAATCTAGTTCAGAATGATCAGTGAAGGAGTTGAAATGGGAGCATAAATGCCAACAGAGTTTGTTCATCTGTTCGGAGGAAGTTAGCGGTAAGAGTTTCCATTAGTCTTTGAAAAAATTGACAACGTGGTTCCTCAGAACAGTTACCACTTAGACCAGGGGTGGGCAAAATATGGCCTGCAGGCTGTATTTGGCCTGCAGAGGGACTTTGTCCGGCCCACTGCAGATCCCTTGGTTCTACCTGGCCCAGGTGCCATTGTGTCCATGGTATGTCCTGCTGCCCCCAGGTGTGTAGCGGGGCTGGGGCAGCTCGGCAGTTGGATTATATTTCTAGGCAGCCCAGGTAGTGGCAGCTCCTTCTGGCTGCCACTGGCCCCAACCCTATGGTACTGGTGGGGATCCATGCACACACCCCTGGCCTGGGTCCAGCCTTCCCTGCCCTTTGTCTGCTCCAGACCTGCCCCAACTGGAGTGGACCAGCTGGGACCCATGTGCACAGCCCCAACCCTGGTCCAACCCACACCTGCTCCAGACCTCCCACTTAAAGTAAGTGGCAGCAGTGACTCGCAGAAGCTGTTGGTAGGCTCAAGGGAAAAGCAGTTGCCTTCCCCTCGCCACTGCAGGGCCCTTCTTGCTGCAGCCTGTGCCGAGGTTGCCCTGCAGCTCCTCTTCACTGCCACCACTGCTCTGCTGGGTGGCCCAGAGGCAGCAGTGACAGCAGCCAAGAGGAGCTGCAGGGCAGCCTGGGCATGGGCTCCAGGAGGCTGCAGCAAGAATGGCCCGGCAGCAGCGAGAACAAGGTGGCCAATTTTCCCCCATACCCAGCAGCAGCTTCTGTCTGGCCACTGCCGCTGTTCATTGTGGGCAGGCCAGCTTGGAGCAGGCTGGGGTTGGAGCTGTGCATGCAGTCTCGACTAGTCTGGATGTTGTTTGCTCCGGCCAGGGTGAGTCTGGAGTGGGTACGGGGTGGTCCAAAGCTGGGACTGTGTGCTCAGCTGCTGCTGGGTGCTAGTTTCAGTGGCAGGGAGGAGCCGCAGGGCATGCAGACACTGGGGCTGTTTGGGGGAGGGGAGCTGCTGACTGGCCCACAATAGTTCCCCAGAACTGCCTCTGTAGCTTGTTGGCCCAAATAATTGCCCGC